CGCCAGCATGGCATCTCTGCTGAAGACTAAGAGCTATTTGTTCTAAGAAGACCTTTACTCTCTCTAAGATACTCTGTCTCTCTCTCTCTCCAGCTAAAGTAGATAGCCCTCAAGCACCTACGAGAAACTGTTCCTGAGCAAGGTTGCTTAGTGGTCCGCGTCCAGAAGCTACCTAAGCTGGGCCTGAGACCTGGCCAGTCCTGGGCCCTGACAGAAACAGGCTTGACATTCTTTGGCTATTAAAACTGCCTGTCTGACTCACTTCAGGGCAAGCTTTTTATAGACCATTTGGAGAGGCAGCCAGGGTCACAGGAGGTCACACAGAGGCCAACTTGGGTTCAGGCTCTAGAACAGAAATAACCCAAATAACTCTTATCCAGTTATTTGTTACCCCACCCCTTTTAATAACTGTCTTAATTTTCTAATCCTTAACCATCCCCGAACACACACTTTCTCTAAGCTAATAAATCATATCCTTTCTATACCTAAGTCCTCCTTTCCCAAAAGACCTTTTTATAAGGCCACCTAACACATTCGTGAGCTCTTTCCTGACCCATTTGGGGTATGATTTATGAATTTACTTGTTTTACTGAGGCTTAGCAAGTAAAATTAGGAAGATTACCCCAACCCCTGAGAAACTCCCACAAAACTAAAATGATCTTCTATTAAAAACAAATACAACTCTTCATTCCTTGATTATTCATGCGTTTGTCGTCCCTGGGCTGATGTCCTGTTTCTGTCTGTGGATGTACAAGCATAGCTGAGGTTGACTGCGTGTGGCAGGACTTCTTCACACTGTGGCACTTATGCCTCTCCTTGAAACTCCGCAGAGGAGAAGTGGTAACTATTAGGAATGAGTTAGTATGAATAAGTGAATGCCCATACTCTGTCCATAGTGGGTACAGTCAGTGTCACAGGGTAGAGGGAAAGGGCATGGGACTGCATAGCCACTCTTGGGTCACAGCTTCTTCTATAAAAGTGGGTTAGATCAGAGAATTTCTGATGTGTTTTCCAGTTCTAAAATATGGGCTAATGCAGATGGCATAACACTGATAGACCATTACCTATACACCAAAGCAACTTACTTTGTAAAAACTAACTCTGATAGATGCAAATGTAACAGCCGTGGTTTTCATGTATGCTCAGTATGGTTAGAAAACCACACACTAAACCTTAAATCTGGAAAGATAGAGGACTGAGGACCAGGGGTTTCTGGCATTGGAAGTGAATGCTATTCCCACATTTAATGAATCAGTTGGGAGCTGAGTTTTGCAAGCTGGTCTAACTCAGATCCTAGTGTGGGAATACCGGGTTCAACTCTGCAAATAGATTTCAAGGCTTTGTAAAAATAACCTCTCTTCTCTTTCAAGGATATGTTTAATGGTTTAATTCAACCAATATTTACTGAGCAATTCCTAACTGTAAAAGGTGTTAGCTTCTAAGGCACTAGAGGCATGCCTGCTGGTCCCTCACCTTCAAGGATGAACTCCTGAGTAGTTCAGTCCTTGTGGTAACGCACCAACATCTCATATAGTACCTGGATCATGGTTAAGCATCAGAAATGTATTTGAACCAACTAGACATGGTCTCTATGCTCTGCAGCATTCCCAGCCCAGTGACATAGATGAAACCTTAGTCGTTTTAAGAAAACACATTTTTCATGTTTTTTTAATACACGTATTTATTATACTGTAAAAAGCAACACTACCTTATTTCATTTAAAATAAAGTTTCCCAGTTTTAGGATACTTACAACTTCTAGTTTTAAGATTAGATTCACTTTGGGAAGTTTTGGAAGCAAATACATTCATAGCTGTGTAATCCCCAGGAAGAATCTAAATCCAACATCAGGTCATTCAATCCCTGCCAGACAAAGCATCAGATGGGCAACAGCTAATCCAGCTGTGCAGCTAAAGGGCAGTGTGGGGCAGCAGTGGGGTTCAGCATATTACCAAAGATGAGACCAGCAGAACAAGATCAGCAAAAACAACAGTGTAGACAAAGCTTTAAATTAACATGACCATATAAAGCTCTCCCCATACAGACAAAGCACATAGAATCTGAAAGCCAAAACCAAAAGACCTTTGGAGTTGCTGATGGCAGCAGTTAATAGCAGAGTAACAAGCATTTAAACCAAATTTACTCATATTACCAGCCAACAGCAAACAGCCAGAGCAAGAACCAGGCGTAGTCACAACATCAGAGATAAATAAGAGCACATTTAACAATAAAGATTTTACAGAACAGTTTTGATCTGATAAGAGATGAAAACTCTTGTTTGTTCCCAAATAATAGAACTCTTTTTTATTTGAGAAGTCTCTTAATCATTGGTAATCGTTATGCCACACAATTCAGCCATCTTAATGTTATTTTAATAACACACAACAAGCTGCTATTTGAACAGTTATCTTAATTGATTTCAATTAAAATGTGTCTACTCTGTAATATCTTTGAAGATAAGTATCTTGCAAATGCTACCTGTCTGTGTGGCTTGGCAGATCTGTGGGGTAGGAACTCTGGCAGGGCTGACTGCCCACCCATTATCCTCTACACAGAAGCTCGGGTGTGAGAGCAGCTTCATGCCCGATGCAGCTGAGGAACACTGGCCATGGCTTCACCAAAGGAGGTGTTGTCTTGGTAATGGGAGGGCAAAGCTGAAGCCACTGACTTAGACTAGGAGCAAAAATCAAAGCACCTGGAGGCTGCTGGAGTAAGGTGCCATCAGGCATCATAAAGCTTAAAAGCAACAGTGTATGCTGATCAGAAAAAAAAGGAGACCTATATGTGGTAACGATTAGCGTTGATGTAGTTGAGAATTCTCATTTTACTAAACACTGTTTCAAAAACGTCCATTTGTTTGTGCAGCACTAAACAGCAGAAGTCCTCACTAACACAGCCCTGGAGGTATGACAGGATAAAGTATATGTGCAATTCCTAGAAACTCCTTTACGTTTTGAAGCCCCTTTGACTCTCCAAATTCTGAGTTAATGCCCCATGACAAAGAAATGATGGGTCTCAATTTAAAATAAAATAGCCTCTTTTTATTTAAAGAGACCATAACGATGTACATAATAGAGAAATCAGAAGAAATCTGGAGTGATCCATTGGTCTTCCAAGGAGGACCAATACCTTGATGCAGACTTTTAATGATAATGCTTAAAAATAAGTGTTATTTGTAGCAGTTTCCATGATATCAGAATAACTTTGGTAGCTTAGAGCATGTCTGGATTTCTCTTTATCCTAGAAGCTAAGGAAAAAAAAAAAAATCAAAGAGCTACAGTAGCACATCCTGTCATTTTCTAGACTGGTAAGTTTGACTATTTGATACCTTGATTAGTAATTTTGACTCTGGTTCATCTTCTATACACAAATGGCAAAGTTACGCTCTGATGCCAGACACAGGAGGCATTTTCTGACTTACTGTGGAAAACATGAAAACTGCATAGTATGCCAGCACTCGCTTTCCCAGCAAAAGGAAAGAGGCAGAGAGCTCAATTTCTGAGAAAAGAGGCTGGAGGAAGGGCATATAGAAAAAGGAAATTTTCTCAAAAGTATTATAACTACATTCACACATATGTTTTGGTCACCAAACATATTTTGAACATATTCCCTGATAAAGTCTAATCAGAATTGGTCTATTCTAACAGTTCTTAATTATTATAATTTTTTAAGAATCACATTGTGAAGCTAGAGGGAGACATTTTAAAACACACAACCATAAGTGCAATAGTTGTTCAAACACTCACGCTAAATCTATAATAGGAGTCTTGAAATCACAATATTTGCTTCTAAAGGCAGCCTTGACCTATTTGGGCAGACTGTACAACAAAGCTTTATTTTTAAATGCATATCAGCAGATCATCACCATAAACGGAAAATTCACAAAACACACAAGTAAATCGTGAAGACCACACAATTAAGCTAGCATTGGTAACTATTTCTTTTACATCAAATTATACAATGCACGAGGTAAATATTGCTCACATTATGAAGGGAGATTGTTTTATTTCTATTTTTTCCCAAAGAGATCAGATTTGTCCTGTGCGCACAATGAAGAAAACTCCAGTAACACTGAAATGACAAATGTTGTAAAATGTACATCACTACCAGATAGAAATACACACGTTCTTCATACTCATTTTCCACAATTAAATAGGTAAGTGACTTAAATCTTGGGATCTAAGACCATTATAACAATCCATCAAGATTCTTGTGGACGGTTTGATTTTCCTTTCCATTGTCAGAATCTCCTTGAGGTGTGTACTGGGCTTGGTATTCCTGGAGGATTTTAAACACATCATGGTGCCCGAAGTGCAGCGCCTCATCCATGGGCGTGTTGTTCCACCTACACGGGGAGCACAGCGTGGACGGGGCGTTAGCACATCTCTGAGCAATGACGACCTCCTAGCATTTCTAGATCTGAATGCAGGTTAAGTGGCTATTCACAGCAATGTCACAAGTAAGAATGAACAGAAATACAGAAAAGGCTTTATACTTCAAAACGTGGTCTCAGAAATGAATTGGGATATGAGGAGAAAGAAAAAGATCTGTGAAAGAATCTCGTCTACACATGCCAGTGCTTACGGAGAGAATGGAAGTCCTTATGTTCACAGAATCAACTTTCTACAGTTCCTGATTTTTAGCTTCATGAAAAGCCCAACATATCTTTTTAAATAAAATGTTCAAAGGAAATCTGGATATATAAGATCCATCACCCTAGCCTTAAACAGAAAATTTGTGTTCCTGTCAATTCAGAAATCACAGTCAGTCACAGAACTCCAGAAACAACGCTGGAGGAGCCAGATTGGCCACAGGGGAGGAGACATTTTCATCATCTCTAGTAAGGATGGGAAGCCAAGACTCAATTAGAACTCTACACGACCAGAGTAACTCCCCTCTCCATAGGAGTGTGCTTCTGGGGCTATGCTATTTAAAATGATGTAGACAAAGATTTTAAGTAAAGAAGAAATAAGAATTGTTAGCAGGAGTTAGTCAGCAGAGCCTTTTGTAGGAGGAGGCAGCCTTGTAGAACTCACAGCCCCAGTACATGCCAGGGTATGATCATTAGTTCCTCCTGGCTTCTCCCCTCTCTCCTGACGCTATGAACTTCTCCATAGTTGCTGGCCTCTCTCTCCCCGTCTGTTCATGGGCCACTTTCCCCACCTCTCTTCTGGTTCTACTTCTTCCTACTTTTTTCCATCTCTGTCCTGAGCCTTTTACCCACTTAATGGGGTCACAATATAGAACTGAAAGGTTTTTTAAGTAGTCTCATTTTTTTTAGTATCTTAGAGAAAGTCTGGTAGCCTGTTTTTAATTTTTAAAATCAAGTAAGCAACAGTGACATGCATCTCGTGTTTCTCAAAAAAAAAAAAAAAAAAA